TAGGCGAGGTCATGGTTAACATGTGACTTGAAGTTTTTCATCGATTGGAGGAAAAAGTCTGGCTAATCATGAACCCTGGTTTTCCAACTAGCCTCTAATCGTCGTGCTATCATTTTCAGGACTTCCTCAAGGCTCATCACGAAGATGATACAAACGCAAAGTTTGATTTGTGGGACGCGTGGAACAAAGTCATCCCGGCGAATGTTAGTACCTAGATTTTTTTCGAAGAACAGTCTTGGAGCGAGGCTCGAGAGAGTCTTCAGCAGGGCACGCCATCGTTGTGATCATCACAAGGGGGGGGGGTCGTATTTGGTCAGAGAAAAATTTTTTTGATAGTTGATTTCTCTTGTTTCACGGACGCTGTAAAGGGGGGGTCGTATTTGGTCGTTGTTGGGAGGGGGGGGGTCATATTTGTCGTTGAGAGGAATTTGCGGCGTTGGGGAAAATTTTTCTCGGTTGTTGACTTTTTGTGGTTTTTCCCTGTTTCACTGGTGCTACCTCCTCCCCGCTCGACAGCAAAATTTTTGGAAAAACTAGGACTTTTTCGGGAAATGACGGGGCAACTGGTAGGGGGTTGGGAAAATGTGGGAAAGTGGTAGGTAGGATAGGAGGGTCGTATCAGAGGATGGAATGGCGTGCCCTAGTCTTCTGACCTTTCGTCCATATTTTTACCAGGGCACTAAACTATCAGTTCCAGATGAAATCGTGGGATGGTGATAAACTCAACGTGACCGACTTTATGGACAAATGGATCAAACAAGTGAGTTGTTGATTGCTTATTTTTCTGTTGGTTAGAAGATACAAGTAACAGAGATGAACCAGTTTTGTACCAGTGCTTAGAAGGTGTCACAGAAGTCCTGGGAAATATTAACAACTATTTCTTTTTCGATGAGACCACGGGAACGGAAGCAGACGAAGTGTTTTTTTTTTCGGAAAACCGTCCTAACTGACCACCCCTAACTTCGGAATGGAGAAAATTTTTCCAAAGAAAACTTCCTGGAGCAGTCTGAGATGGATACGATTCTTTGTCTTCTGTTTATTTGTTGCGTTTGTTGTCTTCGAACGATTTTCATGCGTGTTTTTCAATTGTTTTGCTTTTACTCGATTTTCACGTGGTCGTTTTCAGATGGGTTATCCTGTTGTCGAGATGTACCGTATCGATGATCACACGATAGAACTAACCCAGAGGCGTTTCAAGGTGAATCTGGCCTCCATTGTGGCTTCCTCACGAATCCCTTGCTGACGTCTTAGAAAGACAAGCGCACCAGTGGGGAAGGCACAATGATTGGCTGTCTCCTCCCACTCCCTCAGCGTGAACTGTGCTTCTAAGGCGAGCTTCATTTCAGCTTGATCATCTCACACCAGAGAAAGCAAAATACCGTAACGCACAGTACTGGTATAAATGGGATGTACCAATTTTCTACGAGTTGAATGGGAATCCGCCATTTCAAGACGTCAGCAAGGGATTCGTGAGGAAGCCACAATGGAGGCCAGATTCACCTTGAAACGCCTCTGGGTTAGTTCTATCGTGTGATCATCGATACGGTACATCTCGACAACAGGATAACCCATCTGAAAACGACCACGTGAAAATCGAGTAAAAGCAAAACAATTGAAAAACACGCATGAAAATCGTTCGAGACAA